AGTAAATGAAATAATAAAAATGTGGGGAGAAAGGTCTAAGCAAATTACTGTATTACAGGTAGATTTAACAGGGGAAAGCAAACACACACACAAGACAAAGCAGAAGGGAAAGGCCACAGTGCTCTACCAATTTACAAAACCATACTAAATCCGAGCACTGACCAGGCTGATGCACATCATCTTTTCTACAAAGAAGATAACAAAAATAAGAATGGAAGCAACATTTTGGCAAGAGGGGGAGATAAAATCACTGACAACAAATCTCTAGAGGATAGCAAGACACCCAGTATTCCAAACCCAGTTACACCTGGCCTCTTTCTTCTCCCCAAAGCCCCTGCCATAGATCTTTCCAGTGTAACAGATTCCTGGTCTGCAAAAAGTTTTGGCCATTACCTTCCCAAAAGAGTGTCTGAACTTTATTTTTTTAAACATCTGTTTTGTAACCGCCCTCGTACCATCTCCCCTAGAGTAAAAATATCCTACATACCAACCACGTCCCCCAAACCACCTCCTTTATCTGATGCCCTGAAGCATGAAGTGTCACAAGCATATGATTAAGGCACAGCCTGGCAAGGCCAAAGAAAACAGGTATGCCACAAAGTGCAAACCCACAGACTGTGCTACTGCGATCTATCATTTTGCAAGCAGTTGCAATATTCTCCAGTTTAGCACTGACCAAATGTGCAGCAACGGCTCTGCAATGCCATCACCCAGCCCCCCTCTGGACCCTTTATTTGAAAGCTGCTTTGAGGGATTCAATGCTTCTGTACCATATTAAACAGTAAACAAACCCAGAGTTTAACATTCCTTGAATTCAAATACTAGTACACACCTTATTTAAATCAGTTCAGTTTTGTTTGTTCCAGAAATAAGCACCTCCTAATACATGTAATACAACATTTTAAAACTGCACTGTGCTAAAAGCAATTGAAATATAACTCATTAAAAAGTATAAACAAGTAGTGGCTAGTAAAATAAATACTTGGCACAAATCTATTGCCCATTAGGAAATAAAGTCGGGAATCCTTATTTACATTCTTCCACTGTTTTTTCAGAGACACGGTGGCCACGGGCAAGTCACCCAGGCTCAATGCCTCAACTAAATTTACATACCTAACCCACACTGGAATCAATGTGTCCTTGTCACATTTTATTCACCTATAAGGTAAATAGCATCTGTTACAATTTTGTGACATGTTACTTGAATCACACTCTTAAATACTTTAAAAACAAAATTATTAGTAGTCTACTATGACAATTAATACCATAAATGTGAATTAGCAGCTAATTCAACTTCAGTTTAAAACATCAGTAAACCAGTGATTAAAAGTTTTATTCTTCAGACGTATCCACACGGTTTCTGAAACATACTATTTTCATAATGACTTACATGCAAAAGCTGTCAATACTAGGTCTCTAAAAAAAGAAGGGTGTTTTCTGCCAAGATGCATTTGAAAGATCCAAATTTGTTTTAATATACCCTCAATGCACATGCACCACCTGCTCAGTGAGTATAATTTCCTGAGAAGAAACAATTCAATTACACGTATGATCCAAGGTCTTCAAAGCTGCCTGGGAGAGTAAAACTGCTCATTCCAGTGACAGCTATAGGCCACAATCCCTTATTGGCAGGCTTTGAAAAATCTCAGCTTTACAGATCAACTGACAGTAAGATTCTCAGTCTCTATATTCTTAAATTTGTAATGTGCCTGTAATGCAGTACATTCGAGACAGATGACGCCGAAGCACTACGGAACTCAGAGGGGAAAAAGCACTTTATTAAAGAGACAACTATCCTCCCTGTTGACCTTTGAATACGTATTTTCCAGCTAGATTCTCTACTGTCAGCTAAAGACACAACCAAAACCTGGCTAAAGTCCAGCAGTACCTTTGCTACGCACATTGCGCTTGTGTGTCCTTTCACTCAGTTTTATGATATGCTGTATGTAAAGACTTGAACTGCAGTTAAAGCTGGAATTAACTAAATGAAGAAAACATACAGCAGAAGTCTGGGAGAAAGACGACTACTAGGCATGCCACAGAGCACATCCCAGTTGACCTGTGAATAGCTGCCACACTGACGGCTCTTGTTTTGAGTAAGAGACACAGCCTGGGTAGCTCTGGGAATTTTGTCAGGCAGCAAAGCTAGGTCACTCTGCTGGTGAGAAAGATTGCGTTGTTTTTCAGGCAAACATCCTACGCAGGTCGGGGGATCCCATGCCATTCTGAGGGACAGGAAGATGGTTCATGCAGTGGTCACTAGGACAAGAGGTGTCTCTAAGAGACTTGCTATTAAGCTGGGACCAACACTACAATGACCATATTGCACTAATTTTCATACACTTTGTTGCTACAAATATCATATTGCACTAATTTGCATATGATTTACCAGCCAGGAGGTCTAAGAAAGCAACGGATTCAGCGTACATCCTAAGCCCCCAACCATCTACGTACTATTGAAAAATAAACTAGCTGAAGCTCTGCTAAGAATCACAAAACTAAATATATATATAAAAGCAAACAAAAAAAAGCTTTGAAAGATTCAACACTCTCCCTGCCCCAGACATACAGCATCATTTGCACTCACAGAAGCCCTTTCAGTTACTTCAGAAAAAGCCCAGACTAAGGAAAAGGCAACATACTCTGTACCACTTAATACACCACTCTACACCTTAGCATTTCATAGTAAGTACAGGTGTAGATTCAGCTTACTGAGACATCTTAAAAACGTTTTTTATTTAACCTTTGCCCTGTTAAAAAAAATTATTACTTTATACAGATGTTATAAAGTAGAACTGACTGAATAATGTGGATCAAGAACTGACTTTTCACTTCCTACTCCTAGATTATCTTTAATATCCTGAGTAAATTGTTCTCCAGACCATATAAACTATTGGATGGTACATCAGGAATCCACTATATCTGAACACTGAACTGCAATCTCCTTAGCAGAATCTACAGAAATACAGTTCTCCCACATTAACGGGTACTGAAACTGCCTGCTGCTTCCCCTTGTCGTATCTCGTTTCTCCTGAATTTAAGTTCTCCAATTAAAAGCACACAAAACAACTATTTCCTGTAGTACCCTCTCTCAAACACTTCTCCCTTTCAAGAAGCCAAGCAATTTAGGAAAGGGAACTTTCATATTGAAATACAGAAGATCCAAATCCAGGACAAGCAGAGTGACTGCTAAATATTTAGAGACACTTGAACTGGGAGGGGGAGGAGGAACAGCGATGGTGACATTAATCTGATGGCTTCCTGCCTGTGTTTCAATACACAATTGCAATTATTTGCTACTAAAACCTTGCTTTATTCAGAATACAATACATATCTGCTCTGAGGACTCTTCAAAGTAGAGGGTTATAGTCTACAGATCCCCTCGTCCTGCTTATTAAGTAGGTAATCTGCTACAGTAAATGAGTTAAGCTAGTTTACACGTTTGAAATATCCACTGGAGAAATGGCTTCTATTCATCTCTGCTACATAGTTCTTGTGATGCTGGTTACTGTCTTCTCCTGTCCTGGTTTCCCTCCCTCTTCAAGAATCCAAGGCCTGACCTGCAGAAGTCCTGCCATCCAAGCCAAGTGGAAACTGTCATCGGAAGTGGTGAAATGTTACAGAGTGCAAAGTACTCTAGGAAAAAAAAAAAATCTAGAAGCTCAAAGTCTCAACTTCAGCATCCAAAACTAGCAGAACTTTGTCCTACTGCCTTAGCTCTCCACCCACACAAAGACAGTAGCACCAGCTCCTCGTTCTGGTGAAGCCGTCGGAAAAGATTTTAATGTTCATAAAATGCTGCTACTCCAACAGAAGGATAAGGTAATTGGTAATTCTGCCTTGAGACAAGGCTTTGATTAGCTCCCCTGTCCTGAAATGCAAAACTGGCAGGATCAAGCCTTGTTTTGAAGAACACCATGGAGCAGGAGTGCAAGACAGTCATGACCACACGCCGTTGCTTTCAGTTAAGTAACAGGCACGTGGTGGAGATTTCCTCCCCTACCCTTTCCGTCAGTCTGCTTTGACTGGCAGCTGCTGCCACCTGCCACCACTCCCACTTTGCAGGAGAATGAAGTGGTCCTCAGAAGAGGGAGTGAAACGGTGAGCCACCCCGGGGAGATGATCCAAGAAGGTCTTCATAAAAGGTTCCCCTCTGGAGTCACCTCCCCAGCGCAAGCTAGCCCTCGAGAAGATGGCAGGTAGGCAGGCTGGCCAATCCTCCCATCACGCACAGTCGCATTACAGGGCTTAGGAGGAGCGCGCCACTAATTGTTATTTTGCTAACCGCAGGCAGCCCCGGCGCAGCGTGTGTTGCCTAGCAACACTTCTCAGCCCTTGCGAGAGCCAGCATCCGTTTCGGAGGTAACCTCGAGGACCAACACCGCATCGGCGTGAGCGAGCAGGGGTGCAATCCACAGCACCTTCCTCCGGCACTGCAGGGGAAGCCTGACGTCCCAGGTCCCTGTTCACAGCTTCACTTACATTTATCGTACTTTCCGTAAACCACAAAGCCATCTTTCACATCCTCAACAAAAACTGTATCAGAAACACAAGCAGGTCTTGCAGGGTACACGTGGAAATTAGCATTTAGTACAGATGCATCAGAGAAAAAGAATCGATCTGCCAATTAGCAACCAGCAGATTAAGTACGTCTTTTATCAGTAAAAAGCTTGACTGGCTTGGCAAATAGTTATATAAAAAATGGTGTAACAAAATAACATTGTGTACGTTGGAGAAAGTAGTTCTGCAGACCTGGACTCAGGCTACTTGTAACGCCACAACTAAACACTAGCAAAAAGCCGACACCACACCGAATAAAAGACACAAAACACCCGAAGCAGAACACACGCCCAAACAGCCACGCACCACCTTACCGAGGTCACAGACATTACAGGTGTACTGCCAAAAAGCACAAGGAAGACGGCGAAACAACAAGATTTACTTCTGCATGTTTTAAAGGAGCACTTATAAGATTTTAAGCAAAAACATATCAGGCATACCCTCCTCTTCTGTGGCGCTCCTTGTGCTTGGAGATTTTGTAAGGCAGAGACCTTTCTCCCAGGTTTTCTAGGTTCCTCACAACAGCTCCTCTCTCCATAAGAGCCTCAACAGTGCGCTTCAGCACAGCTGCAGTCTCAGGCTTTAAAAGAAAAAAAAAAAAAAGGGAAAGCAGGAAATGTATACAAATCTGGTTATTCTTATTAGGCAATTAGAAGGGACACCAGTACTTGCTCAGCACTGGAAGAGATCATTCAGTAACCTGAGAGCTCAAAGTGGAAACAGAAGCAGACCTCCTCCTAAGGAAGAAAATTTTTAAGAACAGCAAATTCCTCTGTGAATTATGGAAACAGCAAAGTTTCCACCAATTTTGAAGTCAGGCCCCAGCAACAACAGAAAAAAGGAAACAGTTAATGGATTTAACTCACCTGGTATCACTTTGGCTGACCCTTGCACAGGTGTAAATAAATATAGGTGGCAAAGAGCAATTATGAATCGGCAACAGTCTTAAGGCCCCTGGACCATCCATGCTCTCTAACATTGTTCACCACAACAGTTAAAGTGAATGCACATGCGTAATAAATACTCGGACCCTTGGCTAAATCACTGCACATCTCATTACTTTTGCATAGCCAACATCCAAGACGTTTTAAGAGTTAAGGAACTGACGTGCAGTAATTAGTCTAACATGCAGAGATTTTCACTCCTTAGAAAAACAAGTTTGAGGGACAGGCAGCCAAAAAACAGTAGGTAAAAAGATGCAACGTTTTCTTGCTCACTGCATATCAGGGCTCTTTAGAGTGCTGAGTCATTTTGGTAATGACACTCAACAATATCTATGAAAATGTTAATAAAGTACAAATTAGAATGTTTTGAAAACAACTGCAAACTTACACACTCTCTGCAACAAGAAGTATTTTAAGAAACAGATCTCCTACAGAGAAAGGAAATTAAATGGATGTCCAACTGAACACAAACCAAACTGTATAGCCTTCTTCTGAGTTCCTTGTAACATTTCACATCAAGATATATTCCCAAGTCTACTTGTCCAGTGAGATGGCAACAGCAATAACCGGAAAAGTAATGAAAGAGCTGATTTTCAGCTTTATTCAGACTTTATTTTGTTAAATCAGACCACCGTAACAAGTCACTGTCCCTTCTCACCCAGAAGAAAACTTGTGGAAGCCTTCAACCACCTATGTACAAGATGACTGAAAGTTAGTTTCCTAAGTCTAAGGTAGAGATGTCCTCCTTGACTAAGAAAAAGGGTTGTTTAATGTCCAGATTCCTTAATGGAAGTTGGTTGGGCAAAGGTGGTACCAGAGTCTCACAAAATGCAGTGCAACCCACACTCTGCTGTGTGAAATTTCTCTTCCGTTTTCCTGAGGATACAAGGTGATATGAAAGAGCCTCCAAATGCCAAGCAGAGATGTTCAATGTATGGCATTTTGCAACGCTGACTGCTCTTTGAAAGACCTGAAGTACAGATGGCCTGGAATGTTTTCTTGTTTCCATGGGCTAACTGCCCTATGGCAGTCAAGACTCAACACCTACTGCTCCTCACTATCAACCAGAAATCTTATTCCCCTCTCTCTGGCTGCATAAACTGTCTGGGAAATTTAGTTCCAACACAAAGAGCCTAAACATTTATAAGCGCAGCAAAAATACATGGACATTTTTTTTTCCAACATATGCTTAGATTGTGTTGTAAAACAATAACAGGGATGAGACAAGTATGCTCACACATGAAGAAATGTTGCCACCTTGCCACTATTCTTCAATGAATCGAAACTATTGTTTCTCACAACAGACAAATACCAAAGGTCTCTCTTGCCACAGTGCAAACAGTTAGGAGGCAGGGATTAAGAGAGTTTATGGACTACACTATATTAATTTAAATCATGCTTTAGCTCAAAATCAAGAATAACACTATTTTTCAGTTGACTCAGGATGGCTGCCTCCTTAGTTGAAAATTTGGTATCACAGGAGTCTGAAATTCCAAGATTTCCAAAACTCGTTGGAGGTTACCTGGAACAAAACCAGTGTGTTCAAAACTTACAAAGGAGACACTGACAGATGGACAAGCAGACCGTAACCACACAGCCCTTCGCTAGAAAAATAGCATAAAACCAGTTCTATAAAATCACGTAGGGACTCGCGTGTTGATGGTACAGCTGATGATGTTGACCATGTTAATACTTTCATTCCCCCCTTTAACTCCACCTCTCGTCTACCAAATACTTCTGCATAATAGATTCAAACACTAGAGAATATCCCATCAACAGAAGGATGTTCTTCCAAGACTGGATTTTTAGCCTTCTCTAAACGTTTTGTGTTACTTTTCATCCTCCAATATGTCTGACAACTACCACCAAGCAGCCACATGCGCTCCTCTCTCTCTCCACACACCCAAGAAGGACAAACAAATATTATCAGCAAAGAACTGGGAAGCAGCAGCTATGGCATGTTACTCTGTCAGTACTTTGAGCAGTACTCAAGGAGTGGGAAGGGAGACTGTGAAATCTGTTGGCTGAGCTGACAGGACAGAAGGTGAGAAACAGAATCAAGAAAAGCAAAGTAAGGAGATCAAGGGATGTCTTCACAACAACGCCAGCAACTAGGAGAAAGCATAGAACAAAATCTCTTCTTCTGCATCACACCCAGGTATTGGTTTACTATAATGGAAAGTGTTCTTTCAAACTGCTGCTACTGCAGAAACATCAGTAACAGCCAGACAGAGGTAGCAGCTCTGCTTTACTTGACCTTGTTCTCCACAAATGCCAAAACACAAGGGGAGAGAGGGGAGCAGAGGCTCTGAAGACTTTCCCCATGAACAATTTCTACCCGAGCTCCTTACGGCTGTTTTAGCTTGACTTACATGGCACAAAGATGACAAAAGCTGGCCCAAACCCTAGACAGGTTCTACACTACTTCCATCAACACAGGATCTCAGCACTTAAACCCATCTAAATCAGGAGCTACTGGTGAGACATCCTCATTTGTTGTGAAGCAGCAACTTCACACACGCAAGCCAAAAACTAGGGTAACAGAGCTGCTAGAGACATCCATAGTTTAATTCTGTAAGAATCATACCAGAAATCTGGCTTCAAGAAAGAAGAGAAAAACAAGAACGACTGAGTTTGTGAAGCAGACACCAAGGTAGGTATTACTGTCTACAAGGTTCTACCTTTTAAACAAGAATCTGACACCAACCATTAGGACTTTACTTACCCACCTTAGTGAGTGAAATGAGCAGTTATAGGAGAGAAAGGGCAGCTAACCTAACAGCTTTAAGATTTTGTGCACTGCAGAGCACCTGTAGTCCTTCCAGCCCTAGGCTTGGAAACACACTCTTGGAAAGCAGTAGGATCTACCATTCAAGTCTTCTCCCACTGTGCCTGCTGTGCATGGTTAGGTTGCAGAAGCCTCCACGGTGCTCAGACAATTATCGCAGAAGAAACCTGTCAGGTCAATGAATAAAAATACTGTTCAGTTTACTGCTGCTACTTGTCTCCAGCTTGCACAAAAAAATGCCAATCCATAAACAGAGCTCTGCTCAAAAGAGATCTTAATTGACTGTGACCTTTAGACACTGTCTGTCCAGTGGTGGAGTTATCTGACATACCCTTCTTAAAAACCACGCAGATTTAAGTTAAATGCTATTGGGTAAGCTTACTCCCCTACATCCCTCATACCCTCAAATGACACACAAGCTTTTTGTCTCTTCCATACATGCCAACAGATCAGCACATTCCCTGAGTGGCTGCATGTCCAACATGATGTGCAGTTTCTAAACACAATGAAGCCTAAGATCAAGTCCCATGTATTTAAAAACAAAACAAAACAAAAAGAACAAGAAAAGAAAGCCACAGATTTCTACATTAAGGATTGTAAAATATTACGCGTTTTTGCAACCTCCCCATTTGTGGACATACTTTGAAAACATAAACTAATTGTTGGTTTTGAAAGCTTGTCACTGTAATCCCTCTCATTCATCCTCTCCAAAAAAGATCATGGTTTATCATAGCTTGCCTAAAGCCATCCACCAAACTATATATAGGCTAGCCTTTGCTAACCATAATATCCACAGACACAGGTTCCTTGGTCTGCTTCAGAGCCAGCCCAGTTGAGGACATAGGAAATGGTATTGCCTGGCTCCCAACCCAGGAGCCACAACATTTTTTCCTGAACAGCCAGCAGTAATTCCAGTACCACAGATGTGGGGAAGCGAAGATGGGGGGGAAGAAGAAAATGGAAGCTGGTGCCAGCATATCCTCGCTGGAGAGCAGAAGCGCTAGAAAGAGCACGTAAGCCCTGGTATGTAATTCTAGCTCTTGTTCCCCCTCCTGTGTGCATAGTCAAGCCAGACCCTTTCAGCTGGCTTCACCCTTAGTGAACCTGGTGAACTTCGTTAGGGAACCTGGTTCACTGTCATTTGGCCACAAGTCATTACACTGTTCTCAGAAACACAGAGCCCTTTGGATCCAACCAAGCCATGGAACAGAGAGGAGAGAGGTCACTGCAGATTGTCCAAAGGCTTTCGGAAAACCGCCCCTGGAAGAAGTAACTGAAGGACTGTTGTCTACAGATCAAAATTCCCAACTCCTCTACCCCTGCAATTTTTAATCTTGTGGCTGCCCAGGAGAAAGATGTTAACTAGCATGTCAACCCTGTACCTGCTCAGCAAAACAATCACAACGGAGGTACCCTACAAAACGTACTTTCTGCATATCACTGGCTTTCTCCATGGACGAGGATCGCTGCGGCCACATTCACCAGGTGCCTGCACCCCCAGGGAGACCCCATAGGCACTGCTGCTGATGCCGTAGGAACTACACACGTTGAGATCACCAGACGCCTTTCCACAGAGTCCAGCTCAGTTTATCTAATATTCCACTATCCCCACGCCCAGAAGTTAACCGTAGCCCCAGGTGTCACCCAAGCCACAGCTAAATACCGTGCCCTAAGCACTGCCTCCACACCTCTGGCTTCTCCCTATCTCCTCACCAGTCTTTCAGTTTATCGTACCCACCACATGAGCGAGCAGAAAGCTGTTTAACGCACAGCCTCCCTCAGCATCTCACCAGCCTGCGCAAGTAGAGATGGACGGGGATGCACAACCCACCACCACCCAGGATCAAAGCCACAAATGCACAGTAATAACCAGTAAGTACTGCAACGCAGCACCAACAACCTCTTTTTGAGGGGAAGTTATTATATGCCACCAGCGTGAGTAAAATCTATAGCATGGTGTCGTGGTTTAACCCAGCCGCCAGCAACTAGGGCCACACAACCGCTCGCTCGCTCCTCCCCTGACCCCAGCGGGATGGGGAGGAGAATTGAAAAAAAAGGTAAAACTCATGGGTCAAGATAAAGACAGTTTAATAAGACAACAAAGAAAGGAATAATAAGAAGAATAAAAAATACACAAAATGAGCTATACACAATACGTTTTTTTCTCATCACCCGACGACCAATTCTGTGACCAATTGCGCAGCCAGTCCCTGAGCAGCGATCACAGATTTCATGGAACTCACGGATTTCGCGAAACTTGCGAAAAAGTTCAGACTCACAGAACAGATCAACGCCCCCCGGAAGAGGTTCCAGCTAACCCCCCTTTATCAGCTGAGCATGACATCTATGGTATGGAATATTTCCACAGGCCAGCTTGGGCTAGCTGCCTGACTGTGCTCCCTCCTAGCTCTTGTACACCTGTTTATCAGCGAAACATGGGAAACTGGAAAAAAGGCTTTGACTTCTTAGCAAAAACTGAAAACATCAGTGTTATCAACATTCCTCTCATACTAAATCCAAAACAGAGCAGCTACTGGGAAGGAAGTTAACTCTATCCCAACTGAAGCCAGGACATGTTTATCAGTCATACAGAACTCGGACGGCAACCAGCAAATGTATTAAAAATTGGCAAAGAGAAAAAAATGAAGCATACTCTGATGGCAAAGTACCTTCTATTCTGCAAACGGTCAAATGGGCATGAGTTCATCAGTCATGAAAGTGTGAAGAGCAGCTCAGAGAAAGACCAGAAATATGGCAAGAACTTGAAATAAAGCTCTTGTAATAATGCTAATCTCTCCTGAAAAAGAAGGAGCCACTCAATCCTAAAGAGAAGGACAACACTGGCTGGAACTAGAGCCATATGAAGAGACTCTAGCACCACTGCTCAATTTTCCACCTTGTTAGCTGGCAAGAGTAAGCTCAAGAGAAGACAGAAAGTCAACGGGATAGAAAAACCAGAACTGCCTAAAAACAAAGCCTTCTCAAGCCACCAAAGCTCCTCCAAAAAGAGCCTTTAGAGAGAGAAAAGGAAGCAGACACCAAACAGTTTTAGGGCTAGAAATGTACTCATGTTCTTCTGGCCACCCATTCAGTTCAACAGGAAGCATTTAAAGTCAGTGGGCATATCTTCTTAAATTATAAACAGAAACAAATCCATCATAATTAGCTTGATTATCCCTTCAACATAGCAATAGTAGGATAAAATTATGTCCTTTTTTGGTTATTAAACAGCTACAAAGGTTGTTCTGAGTATTTACTGAGATGGAAATCAAAGAATGAAAAATCTATGCTTAGAAGAAAGCTGCAATTCAAAAGCAGCAAAACTGGGGGGAAAACCAATTCCTTACTGTCACTGACTACATAAGAAAACACTAGAAACTTATTAGTGAAAATGGTAAAAAAGCACACACACACACATTTGTGAACTAGCCAAGATCAACATTGGCCTAAGAAAGAAGATGAGCTTTGCAATGAGAAACAAGGGGAAGCCAGAAAGAGTCATTTAATTGTCACACCCTGTTTTAGTACACAACAAGACACAGCAAACAGATGAAAAAACAATCAGCAGATTAAGAATGGACAGCAAAGAAAAAATTAGTGCTATTATTAGTAAAAACCATAATCAGGCATACAACACGGCTTGTGGCAGGGTTGTTCTTTATCCGCCTAGGGAACAAACCTGAACTCCTGGCGCTAGATGCAAAGCTGCAATCACTATAAAAGCATAAACAACATGGAACAGCAGTCGTAAGTAGGGTACAACCACTGAAGGATATGTACTATTCAGAATATATCAAAACAAAGATAAAAGCAGTAGATCAAGCGAATAGAAGACATGGGAGCCATGCTGCATCCCCACTAAAAATGGCCTCTGTGTGACTGATGACTGCAATCGGGATGTCCGGAAACTAAGCAACAAAAACATGAGGGCTCTGAACACCTGCCTGGAAGCTCAGACCTGGGCAGAGGTGGGGAGGGATCAGTCTAGGGAAAGCTGGACATAGGGCAGTACCAGGTAGGGACAGAGGTTTCTGTAACTACAACGGTACAATCCTCCAGATCTAGAATAAGGAACAAATGGGAGAAACCCAGCTGCTCCTGAACACGATAACCATTTCATACTTCCATCAAACACTGATTGAACAAAAAGGCATGATTCTATTCTGGAAATGGATTTAGCAAATAGTGTGAAAGTTATAGAAGGCAAGTCACCAAAAATAAGTTTGGGGGAGTGATCAAAATTGACTCAGTCTGCATTAAAAATAACACCCCATCCTCAAAACAGATCTTTAATTAGCATTTTAATGGGGGATAAGCCTAGGAACTATCAACTTCACCTGATGCATCCACGAAGCCAGGCGACTTGGATGCAGAGGATGCAGCAACTTTTAAAATCAAAGTGATGCTAGGATCTCTTTCGTTCCAAAATCCACCTGTCTTCTTCAAAGAATCTAAATACCACAATATATTTTTTTAACTCAACATTTAAGATCAAAGAAAACTATTAAAGGTAAGAATCTGAGCTAAAAACCAAGCAATACAAGCACCCTACAAATACCAAATCACAGTTAAATCAACACATTAGTCTCAACACTGAACACAGGCAAATTTAATTGAATTTAATTCATTTTAGAGAGTTGATACTCTTGATAATTTCTAAAATGAACTCTAGAAAGTGTCTTGTAAGTCTGAAGCAAATAACAACCAAATCCTCCATGATTCAGGGCAATTTCAAGGGTTTATTACTAGAAACAGTTAACGCAACAATTGGCCACAACTTCAGAATCAATTAAACACCTTCCTTAAAACTGCATTTAGAAAACTTAACCCTCCTTCTCAACCACAACAAATTATAATATGGATTTCAATGTAGCACTCCTGGTCAGCTAAATTCTACTTACCAGAAACTTGCTAAGACCAAGCCTACCAGAAACAAGTAAGTTTTGTTCCTCTCATGACTTTTAGATGTGAATACATTTCCTTTATCTATTCATTAAGCTTAAATAATCAAAAGTGGAAAGGAAAAAAAAAAAACAAAACACACCCACAAACATGGAGGGAGTTATTTTCAAACACCTTTTCTCCCCGGCCTTTGAAATGCATGCGCACACATGCGCAGGCACTGACATACAATTCCTGTCTTTTGCACATTTGTTGTGTTTAAGATGAAAACCAGAAGACATTCTGATGAAGAGAACAAAACGATAACAGTAGGAGCAGAAAAGGGGGAAGGTGAGAGGAAAAGAAGTCTTCTCCAATCTTGTGACGCAGAAGCTCGAACCACAGCCAAGCAGCCAGCGCTTCTTTCACCATCTCCATACCTCTCACTGGCAAACCCCTTCCCATGCACACTGCGAGGGGATACATGGCTGCAGCTTGCCAATTCAGGTCATCAATTCCTCTCCCCAAAGCAACGAGCTGCTGGTTTTAAGATACCCTTGAACTTTTTCTGACTTCTCAGACTTTCCTTTTGATTCCTCAAGTGTTTGGACTGCAACTGCCCAACCTCGCAGATCCACCTTCAGAAGACCCCGAGAGAAGCAAAATGTAAAGCCAGGCTTAACTGCACAGCCTAGTCTAATAAAGATCTGCATCATCACCCCCAGACAAGTTTAAAAAAAGAAATCCTGCGCACAGCGGTATTTTTAGATGTAGTCAGGATTTTAACCACGACAGAGAGCAGAAGTTTTGCTCCTTCCTCCTCATCATCTTCCAAGATTAGAGTTGACTGTTACAGTTTACTGCTTTCTTGAGAAACGCCATCTCTGGATAAGAGGTCTTGTGGTGCAATTTTACCTAGTAATATCCTTAATATGACATAATTCCTATGAAAACAGGCTGTGGATGAAAAATAATCCATACAACCCAGCACCAGAATTAAGCTGGAAGTTTGGAAGCCTACTACTCAAGAACGCCACCTATACTATCAAATTTTTTGAGACAAGACTAATTTTAAGTAAGAATTTCAATTCTGGATAAGATCTCTCTTCTCAGACAAGCTCTTTCTTTCAGTCTCTGCCCTCTAACTCAGCCTTGGTTCCACCTCCATACACTGCATGTAGGGCTTGGCTCCCCTAGTATTTTCAATCAACTTATTTTAAGCTTTTCTATTCACCCACATATTTAACACCAGCTTGGAAGACTAACAGACACTGACAGAAAGGGTCCAAAACTGATGGCTGCTGTTTCCAAGGTAAACTGAAGCCCATCACCCCTTGGTTCCAAGCATTCAAAAGCAAAAGGTTGCCCGGAACCGGAGCTAATCCCTCCTTCAGCTGCCCAGCACCTCCATACACTACCTCCTCGGCAAGCTGGGGAAGGGACACAAATCAAACCACCGTCACACCACTGCTGTTACCATTTGCTTTCCTGGATGCTTCAGGGACAGAGTCAGTGGTACTGTCAAGGAGAAGGGCTTCGGTGTGGTAGGAATGGCACACAACACGAGTAGAGC